CCATTCGGCTTCGCCTCATGGGCTATTGACCCGTAGCCCTTGGGGACTACGGGTCTAATTGTTAATTAGTTCTACAAGATGACTAACAAGTTTGTGAATGAACCTTTTCTCTATCTCCTCTTGTGGCATCAAAACTATCAGCGATTGGGATCCGCGGCGTTGGCATAACAAAGGCGGCTTGGCATTGAGCATTGGTCTGGCTGTGCTCCAAAGCAATAGCCTAAAAGAAAAACAAAAGTGAAATACACATACTACAGGAAAACACACACTGGACATACGCGCACAGAGTGCTATACAATGGTTTCAAGTTCTTGAGCTACACTAGAAAACTTGTTGAAAAATGCGAACAAACAAAGACGCCCGTGTGGAATGCTCTCATCAATACAGCTGGTTTCAACGACAAAACCAGCCGTGAGTCCGTGAGTTTAGTTACGTATGGTAATCTAATTCCCGCGCTTCAGTGTCAGTCGGTGTGGCGGTATAACCTGACAACAAGCGCGGGAAAACCTTCAAGAATTAAAAAGGCGGGAAATCGTAGAGTACGCGGACGACAACGGGAAAACAAACAACAGGTGGCACCCGCGGGAATGCGCGGAAAAAATGGTCAACTCACGAAAAGCCAAACGGGTAACCTAGCCTCCAATGGTTGCATGTGTTCCCGGGCTTCCCACCACTTACTTGATTATTCGCGTAAGCTTGATTCCAAATTGGTTTATCATTCTTTTACCTTCGCTTTATCCGTAACGTCACGGCATGAGTAACAATCCATCATGACCACGTGATCAGCAACCTTCAATGGTAGACATAAACCATGACATATGGTACGTACTTTTACTATTTGCTTCTCAGCTACCACACTATTGTGCAAAAATACATTAAGAAACCTGATTCGTAAAAAAGGTGGGTGACTTGTGACCCTCGACTAACCTGGAAATAATCCCCCGAACCTCCAATTACAAGAATGGACGAAACAACAAAGTCTTCATACAGACTGCGAACCTAAAAACGTGTGAAGATTAATTTATATATATATATCGCTAGATAGTTAATACTGATAATGACCAATAATGACACTAAACACGTGCTTATGCTTGCGGCCTCGACTGCTTAAGCGTGGTCGTGGTGCGTTACGTTACGTTGTGTTGTGTTCTGTTAACTTTTCATTTTTCATTTTCGTACGAAGCAACTGAACTGACTTTCTCACCTTGGATATGAACGGTGTAATTGGTTCTTTTTCAGTGGCCACTAGCTGCTGCATCCGGGCATCTCGAATCATAAAATTCGTAGCGCTCGTATCCTGAGTGAGGAGAGATGAATGTAAAGCCTTGAATAATAACTTCAAACGACTGGTAACTGTTCTGGGACACATCACACTAAGTTACACTACGTAAAAGACAATCGCTGCGGGTTCCTACCTCATCAATCAGCAGGCACTTGCTCCCAGTTTCCAAGGCTTCTATGATATTCGCGGCTTGAGAAGTCGAGCCACTGGCGTCCTGGGTACTAAACCTGCTCGTGTCTCGACCAAACGGTAAGTTGTTTATAAATGGACGGATGTCAACTTTCTCTATGCTCCTGCCTAGCAACAGTGCAAAGAGAGTGCTTAACTCAGCATTAATTTCTTCAAACCATTAATTTCTAACAGTGACAGCTACCTACAGCTCGTGGTGACGACTGCTCTGTATAAAACAGAAGCTTTTCTTCACGTCCAAAATTCAACCTTGAACCTTAAATTTTCTTGCCGGTGATCGCCATTTTATTTTTGCGCAATAAAAGAAAAAAATCCAAGAGACCACACTGTTCTGAGCAGGGTACGTCATCAAAATGGAATGTTTCGAGTGAAATCCTCACTCCCCCGGGGAAGGGGGTGTTTGAAACGACCGGGGATACTCGTCATCTCACTTAGTGGGGTAAATCACGGGTGTTGGTCTCACTAAGGAAGTTCAGGACGAAACGCCACTATTTTTAGCCGTATAGGTATCTTTTAAGGTTGCTCTCGACGAAATACTAAAAAAAACGCTCTGTCTGTTTTAATTGGAATCATTTAGGGGTCAAATAAAGCCCGAACCGCACCCAGAGTTGTCTCCTTTAGGGAGTTAATTCAAATTTTCCAACGAGCATTCCCGACCCCCCACCCCACCCCCGATCACCCCTATCTACACTAATGCGTTTTCACTGATGCGTTCGCGCCCAATTCATCCACTGTTATAAAATGGGTAGCGCACCGTCATGAAATATCTCTACACTAGAAAGCGTTTTCAAATGTAAGCGTTTTCGACTGGATCAGCGTCCACGACAGGCGAAAACTCGTCGACGAACACGCATCAACGAGGACACACTAGTGTGGAATAGAGGGCGGAAAAAGACGTCAGTGTTTGAACAACAAACACGACGCCACCAGTTTGTTGTAAATCGGATAATTTACTAACCATCTTCAGCTCGTATCGTGAATGCTGTCGGATCAGTACAAACAAACTCACGTCCGTCACCAGGAATGTGATTATAAACTCCAAACTGGATAGCATTCAGCAGGGTGGACTTGCCGTGAAAACCGCCGCCTACAATCAGTGTTACACCTTTGGGGATTCCCATGCCAGACACCCTGTGAAAAAAAACCATGCGATGTTGAACCCCTCGGTAAAAGGCAAAGCCTGCATACGAGCCTGAAGGCCCATCAGGACGGCGCTTATCTCCAATTTCAGTTGCATAAAGCGACTAGGAGTATTTCTATTCCCCCCTGGATGGGATGCTAGTCCACCGCAGTGTTATCCCCAGCATTAAATTCACAGGTGCACAAAGCTTCTCATAACCTCAACACAAAACCGTCTTATTTTTGCAATATTAAAAGCGTCATTCAATCTCAACCTTACAAGAAAATTGCTGTTCTGGATGATTTTTCCAGTTCTGAAATTCACATAACTGTAACAGGTTACCAACTGTTGCAAAAAGCCTATTTTGATTTTCACATACATTAGATTGTGCTTACTTTCCAGTATGTGGCAAATCAAATTCCACTCTCAGACTCTCAGGACTATTAAACAGTGTGACATTTGACATGCCCATGGGCCTGTCATCTGCACCACTCATGCGAGGCAGGACAGCACCATCTCTAACAAATGCCACAAGATTGGCAGCAGACAGCTGACTGCGAAGGTACTCCTGGTCTTCAACACATTCAACATGCTTCTTTAGTGCTGCTTGATCCTGGCTACTGTATGGCACTGCCTGAGGTCAGCAAAAAGCTTTATTAGAGGCTAATCATCAATCAAATCCAACCAAATATTTTCACTCCCTTGCGATTGGTCTAAACGCATCACATGACTAAATGGGCCCCAGCTAAAACTGGGCAATAGGCAAGTGATATTTCCCAATTTTCAAAACTGTGTGTGTTGCGAGAAATATTGAAAGAATAACAAACACAAAAGCCTCCACTTGGTGGAAAAATGTGCTCTGATATTTTGCCTCGATGCTCAGAGTTTCCATGAGTTACACTCTCAGAAAACTGTTTTTTTTTTTTAATGGCAGAGGTAATGTTTGAGGACAAATAACCGAGCATACACTCTACACGTATTTTCACACCAAATGGAGGCTGTTGTTTAATATATAATCATCAGAAACTGCCTCGAGAATTACGACTACAAAAGGGAGTAACAAAAAGAAACATAGTTTCCCAGATATCAAATTCTCCCAACTTACATTGAATGGGGGGAATAAAAGGTTAAAAAAACACTAGCTTTCAGATGTCTGGCTCACCTTTTCAATGATTTGGGGAAGATTTTCTGTAAGAATCCTTTTGCAGACATGTCCTTCAATGGATCTTCCCCGTGCTGGCAGAGAGACTGTGAACCTCAGCTAACAGAAAAATAAAGTCAACCATTGATTGAGCTCAGCTGAGTGTGTGTGAAAGAGGCTGCAGTAAAGTACAATCTACTTTTATTTGCAAAATACATGTAATTGACAATCGACTCATACCTCAACACTGTCAGGTTTTACAAGACAAGAAGTTCTTTCAAGGACATGTTGACATGGTCTGAAATTAGGAAAATAAACCCATTCAAAAAAACAAAAAACAAACAATTGAAAATAAATTTAAATTAATTAACACAAAATATTTATTTTTCAAAGAATATAAGTTTTCAAATGACTGTTCAATGAAGTAAATACTGACCATGCTTGCAGTAGATTTTATTACCGGTAATTGCTTATACATTTATTGGTAAATAAATTCAGTTTAAACTACAAATTAATATCAAACATTAATTTGAAAAAAATAATAATAACAAAAAGAAATCAGAGGCGAGCTGAACTTTTGTTATTATCAAATTCTATTTAGATACAGTGTAAAATAAAATTTTTGTACAAACGTTTCGATATTCAAGTTCCCTCCTTTCTTGCCATGCCATCCTTCACCGCCGCCGCTCAGCTCCTTGTCATGTCCTCCATGTCGCACAAGATTAGAAAACTTCCTCGTTAAGTAATCACCAGTTGCTATCTGCTGAATATGAGAGCTGTCCACAAAATTAAATCATATTAAGTCCTCTTAAGGCCTAAAACTTGATTTTCTAGTTTGCTAGTAGTACCACCATACATGTCATAACTTTGAAAAATAATATGTCTAACTTATGAGTACAAACTAACTAAATGTTTAACCAACTCAAACTTATATATACAGACTGCTTGGTCTACATCTTCATCACTACAATTTTAGTATAAATAGCGCCACAATGAAGTTAGAATATTGCATGTACCTGTAGGTAAAGTCTGGGTATTTTGCCACCTCTTGATCCATAATGACTCTAAATAGTGATGGGGGAGCAAAAGGGTCACTCTGTATCTTCTCTGCATGGAGTTTAAAAGTTGGGAAAGTCCAGCAACCTAGAGCACATGAACTATGGTAAGGTTTGTTGATCCAACAAGTGCGCTCATCCCTGGATCGAGCAGTCCCGGTTCGAGCCCTGGCCAGGGACACTGTGTTGTGTTCTTGGGCAAGACACTTAACTCTCACAGTCCCACTCTCCACCCAGGAGTATAAATGGGTAACGGCGAGTTGCTGGGGAAACCTAACAAATTGCGGGGGAGTGACGTGCGATGGCCTAGCATCCCGTCCAGGGGGAGTAAAAATACGCCTTGCTGTTTCATGCTACAGAAACCGGGATAAGCTCCGGCAGCTATGAACCAGTCGGCTCCAAGGTTTCACTTCACTTAAGTACCAGGGAGGTGTGGTGGCCTCATGGTTAGTGCACTCATCTCTGGATCAAGCGATCTGGGTTTGAGCCCTGGTCGTGGACATTGTGTTGTGTTCTTGACTCTCACAGTAGCTCTTTCCACCCAGGTGTATAAATGGGTACCAGTGAACTTAATGCTGGGGGTACATGCAACTCTGCGATGGACTAGCATCCCACTCAGGGGAGAATAGAAATACTCCTGGTCACTTCATGCTACAGAAACTATGCAGACTTTACCTAGTACATATAAGTAAGGAGAAACACTGTAGATCAGATGAGGGAGTAATATAGCCAGGGAGTCAAACCAAACTTGTCAATCTGGAGTCTGTGTTGATAACCAACTGTTACTGGCTCACACCTCTCCCACAAAACATGAAAACAAAGGCTTCATATTAAGTATTAGAATCCATCAAATATTTTGCTCGTGTGCAATTGGTCCAAACACGTCACGTGACCGAATATTCTCCAGCTAAAACTGGGGAATATCTGAGAATATTCCCCAATTTTCAAAACTGTGCATGTTGCAAAAAAGATCTGAAGGATAATAAACACAATAGCCTCCATTTGGCGCAAAAAATATGCTAAGATATTTGTCCTTGGACATAATCTGTTCCTCGAGGCTCACAGTTTTCCTCGAGCTACGCTCTCGCAAAACTGTTCACTTCTCGGAACAGATCATGTCCACAGACAAATATCTTAGCATATTTTCGCGCCAAATGGAGGCTACTGTTTACATAAATAATAATTATAATTTATCATTCCTTTAGAGGCATATGATAATGATCTCCACAGATGTGTCAACACAGGTAGTTAAGAAGGCCTCTCAAACCATGTCTCATTTGCATGTCTAAATGCCACATTACCTAAAATATCATGGTAGGCCTTGTAGCTTTTTCCTTCTAAATCAGCAAGTATGTAAGCCAGATCCTGTCAGGCAATAATAAGGTACATATGTTAGCCTCCTCACAGAAACCTTGTGTAGAGGAAATTGCAAACTAAGAAAAAATCAGGGCTGTGCTCTAGAAGTGCCCAGGTGCCACAGGTGACTTACTTTTGCCTTTGGGTGACTGGAAAAACTTACCAGTACTTGTTTCATATAAGCTTAAGTGCTGGGCACCCAGGATTTCATGGTTAGGAACCCAATGGACTCCTCATAATTTTGCTTACACCACAGCCATGTAAATTGTTCAGAAATCTTTGCCAATAATCTTCAGAGGGGTTTAGGTGATCTTTGAAAGTGTTCAGAAATATTTTCCTTTGGCTTTGATCTTCAGGAGGCTTTGGGTGAACTTCAACCACCTGTGAAATACCTCAGATAACTGTATCAGAATTGACTGATTATAGGTTATTGTATCAGTGTGAGTGTAATTAAGGATTCACACAAAGAGATACAACATATATCTTTACAAAATTATTCTCGCAATTGCATGCCTGACAATCATACATGGGCCCTTATGCAAGTGTAATTTATAAGATGTGCTTTAACATTGCAGCCTGTGTACAGCCATCCTATCAAGCAGCTACAGGTATACACAGGTAGCTACACATACACAGGTTAATATGCGTCATGTTGCATAATTATACTTCTCACCACCCGAAGGGGGGGGGGAGGGGGTACTCCCATAAATTTTACATAGGTGTGTGCCATGAAGGGTCTTAAACCCTGACTCTATGTAAGGATGAAGTAAATGAAAATTGATACACTATTTAACGCACAAACCCAAAAAATTGAAGCCCTATTTCAAGAGAAAAACGAAACCTTAGAATGGCGTGAATGGGTGAACTTTATTTCATTTCTGTAACATTGGAAGTTAAGCATTGAGCAGAAGGATTTGTTTTTTGATAAGCTGGGCATTTACACACTGCAACTTTGGCTGATACAATCTAGGTACCCTATTTAAGGATCATACCGGGAACTGCGCACATGCGCAATGCCAACAGGGGCAAAATGATACCCCATTTAAGGATCAATAACCTCAAAAACCATACCCTATATATACTGCGGCACATACCTATAGTTAATATATGGGAGTACCGCACCCACCCCCCTGCCCCCTCAACCCGGGCTTCTCACCTCCGAGGTTCTTGAGCCCTCATAGTCCCTGTGGTACGAAGCAGAATCCGGTCTTCCACCCCTGTAGTTGTTCCTTTGCTGATAACCACCTCTTCCTCCGCCTCTACCTCCCCTATGCAATTTCAATTGGAAAGGTATGAAATTAATTGATCTTTCCAGTTATCGTTATCGAACCGCGGGACATTCAAACTTTTTGTCGTCCTCGGATCTACCCAGGGGACAGATCGTAGGGTGGGACAAGAAATCGAACGCGCTAAAATATTGCGGTGCTAACGAAAACAACAACAACAAAAAAAACTTCCGTTCCACCGCTTTCGATCCTGACACGAACTTTTTTTAGCAAGATTATATACAATCACAGTCTACACGTGCGCACATAAAATTCAGCTGATAAAACATGCAGACATGAAGATTTCTTCATCGTCGCCAATGATTTCTTCTGAGAAGTAGCCATCATGTATCATGGATATCTATAGCAGATATGATAGTCGTTTCATTTTATGCCGCTTACCTCCTTCCTCCTCCATACAGATTCTTGTAATAAGCTCC